TATTGTGCCTGGCTTCAGAGGTGTTGTATGCTTCCACTCTCTCCCTTGGAGCCTCATGATCTTACCATGTGAACAAGTGTTAGCTAAAAGATAAAGTACTACATGAAAGGAGGTTCATTTATCTTACTAAGGAGTCATTCAACTTCTGAATTGATGAATGAGTCCTTATGATACAGCACCATCATCAAAAGGCCAACTGAGATCACAGATGCCTTCTTTCTGAAGAATAGTGTTGAAAGTTTCTTCACACACTCTTATTATTGTGGTAACTTCACATACTCTTATGATTGTGGTAACACGTTGCTGACAATGGTCCGTATAGTCAAAGCTGTGCTTTTTTCAGTAGTCATGTATGGATGTTAGAGTTAGACCATAAAAAAAGAATGAGTGCAGAAGAATTAATGCTTTCTAACTGAGGTACTGGACAAGACTCTTAAAGTCTCTTGGACAGCAAGGAGATTGAATCACTCAATCCTAAGGGAAATCAGCCCTGAATATTCATTGAAAGGACTGATGCTGAAGCTCCAATATTTTGGCCACCCAATGCGAAGAGCTGACTCGAAAAGACCCTGATGTTAGGAAAGATTGAGGGCAGAATGAGAAAGGAGCGACAGAGTATGAGATGGCTGGATGTCATCATTGACTCAATGGAAATGAGTTTGAGAAACCTCCATGAGATAGTGAAGGACTCTGATGCTGGGAAAGATTGAAGGTGGGAGGAGAAGGGGACAACAGAGGATGAGATGGTTGGATGACATCACTGACTCAATTGACTTGAGTTTGAGTAAACTCTGGGAGTTGATGATGGACAGGGAAGCCTGACATGCTGCAGTCCATGGGGTTACAAAGAGTTGGACAGGACTTAGTGACTGAACAACAACACTTACTCTTATTATTGTGGTACTTCTTAAGTTCCTCTGTACAGTTGTTTAAGTTTGCATTAATTTGATTGTGTGTAATAAGAAATCTCATGTTCTTGTATATGAGTTCCATATGATCTTGGTGGTTCATCTGAAGCATGTTAATTTAGTTAAAAAATGCTCAATAAGATTATGAAAAAATTTAAAAATTGAATACAGAAATGATGCAAAGAAACTGAATCTAGTTCAATATACTCCACTTGAAATACTGAGTGCTTTGGAGTATGAAGTTGAGAGTAATGGGAAATTAAATGACCCTCCTAACAAGAAGCAACAATTCTTTGGTCCAGTAATACCAAGGTCATAGAAATGAAGTGCACTGAGGTTTACTCTATCCAGGTCAGAAGTCTTGTAAAAAATGCTCTGTGAATTTCAGTTCAATTCTTCTGTGTCCAGGTTACTCACCGGAAGCTTCTTATTGGAGTGGTAGTGAATTTCTACAAATCACGGGTCTGCATAGAAGTCGCGCTGTGCCTGGCAATAGTCTCCACTGCCCTTCAGAAACTTCTAAATATGTGATGAAGAACACCACAGAACTGAGAAATATGTCTCCTCACTGAAGACTGTGGCCTAATTATACATCCTGTCCCCAAGTGGTGGTGACACAGGTGGTGGCGGTGGCAGGACAAGGGGAGGAGGTGGTCGTCACAGGGCGGTGGTGGATTTTTTGGCTTTGACAGGGGTGCTGGTGTCCATCCTGCAGTGAGCAGCACCGAGAAGCTCAGTTTTTGAAATTCTGTTTTTTTTTTGCTCACCTCATTTGGTGATTTTAAAGTAATCTTTCAAATCCATTATGTATTTTTCTCTATCACCTAGTTGGCTGCTCATTCCTTCTAGTGTGTTTTAAATTTTAGTTATTGTGTGCTACAGTTCAGACTTGTTCTTTTAAAATTTTCTATTTTCTTGGTAAAATTCTTAGTTTTCATCTATTCTTTTCATCCATTTTTTTCCTCTCGCACTTTCCATTTATTCAGTTAGCATTCTTATCACTAATGCTTTCAACTTTTTTGTTGTTGTTCAGTTGCTCAGTCATGTCTGACTCTGCGACCCCATGGACGACAGCAAGGCAAGCTTCCCTGTCCTTCACTGTATCCTGGAGCTTGCTCAAACTCATGTCCATTGAGTTGGTGATGCCATACAACCGCCTCATCCTCTGTTATCCCCTTTTCCTCCTGCCTTCGATCTTTCCTAGCATCAGGGTCTTTTCTAATGAGTCAGCTCTTCACATCAGGTGGCCAAAGTATTGGAGCTTCAGCTTCAGCCTCAGTCCTTCCAATGAGTATTCAGTATTCAGGGTTGATTTCCTTTAGGTTTGACTAGTTTGATCTTCTTGCGGTCCAGGGGACTCTCAAGAGTCTTCTCCAACACCACAGTTCGGAAGCATCAGTTCTTCAGTGCTCAGCCTTCTTTATGGTTCAACTCTCACATCCATACATGACTACCGGGAAAACCTTAGCTTTGAGTAGACAGACCTTTGTTGGCAATAACATCTTGGCTTTTTAATATGCTGTCTAGGTTGGTCATAGCGTTTCTTCCAAGAAGCAAGCATCTTTAATTTCATGGCTGCAGTCACCATCTGCAGTGATTTAGGAGCCCAAGAAAATAAAGCTTGTCACTGTTTCCATTGTTTCCCCATCTATTTGCCATGAAGTGATGGGACAGGATGCCATGATCTTTGTTGTTTGAATGTTGAGTTTTAAGCCAGTTTTTTCACTCTCCTCTTTCACCTTCATCAAAAGGCTCTTTAGTTCCTTTTGACTTTCTGCCTTAAGGGTGGTGTCATCTGCATGTCTGAGGTTATTCAATTCTTTAGTAAACTGTTTATTTCATCTCATTGTTTCTTTTCTCAGGAGTTTTCTCTTGCTTTTTCAACTGAGACAAATTACTCTGTCTTCTCATTTTGCTTAACTTCCTCTGTTTTTATGAAATTAGGTGAAACAGTTACCACCGGCAATCTTGAAATAGTGTACAGATTTGGGAGTGTCCCTGTATAGTTCGTGTGGGTGCAGTGGCTTTGGGGGGAAAGCTGAGTTTGATTTGAATACAAGACAGATATTTCTTCAGAGTGTGCTGGCAGGTACCACCTGGTTAGGAGGTGGGGTTAGAGATGAAGGGGCTAGGGCCAGAGCCAGGTGTGAGCCAAGACTTCCTCTCTGCTCAATTGCTGTCACCACCCTATTTAAGGCAAGCATGGGTCCCACACTGCTGGAACAGAAGCCCTGAGGGTTGGGTTAGTTGGCTCCATTCCCTTATAGTGTGTGCTCTTCTCCCTCCCAGCAGCGCCCCCTCAGCCCCAGAGGGGAGCAGTGCTGGAGTAAGAGAAGTTGGGGATGTTTATTTGGCGATAGCCAGTGTATTGGGTGTGGCGGTCTGGCTGCTGTCAGAGATCTGTTCTGCTCGTGATGTGCTGCCTGTGTAAGTGCCAATAATGGCTGCCCCTCCCTGCTCAGAGGCCATTTGATTTTTCAGCTGCTGCAGCATTCCACACCGAGGTTTTCCCTCCGTTGTGGCAGCCCTCCCTTCAGTGTGGAGCTGTGAGTGTTTGCTCAGCTCAGAGTGGGGCATGCACAAGGGCAGTCTAGGGGAACAAGTCAGCTAACTGAGTGGTTTCAGTTGGTCCTTTCCACCCTGCTTTGGGAGAAAGCAGGAAACTGTTCTAACCTAGGACAACTCCTTGAAGGGCATTAATTGCTACTTTGGGATTTATACTCCCAGTAGCCTCAGTCAAGGAAAACAAAACACAATGTTCTTTTGTTTCCATAAGGGCTCTGTTTGCTCTAGGAAAAGGGGTCCATTCCCTGACACAGTATATGCACTATCTAGTTCCTCCTTCCAGCTAAAATGAGATCTTTTTGGTAGACTCAGGATCCTTTCTTGTGTTGTAATGATAATCATAGTTATTTTCTACTCTGCTTTCCTGTATTGATGTAGTAGATTAGAATACATGGTGTAGGCAGACATTTATGTTGGTGATTTCAAAGAGATCATTGGCCCACAGATAAAGAGGCATAGATTGGGCAGACAAATACAGGGAATCCTCCATAATGTTGTATTTCAAAAATAGAGAAGAGATATTTCATTCTACAGCCTATGAAAGCAACCTTTGATGAGGTCTTTATTTTCCTTTCCTACTGTAAGTAGAAATTTAATCCTAAATTTCCTACTAGTTTTCTACTTAACATCTATTTTTAAATGAAAAAAAAATTTGGGTCTCATATCTTTTTTTAACTTTTATAAGGATGCCAAAGGATGGGTCATGCAACAGATAAATATATCTCAGAGCTGCTACTGTTTAAAATTGATGTATTATGTTATTCATGCAACTGTGTAGGGAGAAGAAAATTTTATCTGCATCAGAAGAAGCAGCAAACGCATCTGGGTTTATATTTCTCATGATATACTGTCTCATTCTAAAGAAATTTTTAAAAATCTTGAAAATTTCCTATTACCCCTCAAACGGCAGTGATCTCTAAGTGGTGTATCTTTGTCATTTACTCTTTGACCATTGCTATTTTTTGATTCAGCCACAGTGAACTTCATCATCCAGTGGACTCAACCACACCTTCTTTGACGAGGTCTAAACTGCAGCCTTGAGCAGGAAATGTCTCTTTCCAAGCTTGTCCTTTCTTGGATACTGTCCCTTGGCCCAAGACATCATTTAGAGTTCTAACGACATTTTTTTCAACAGTTCTTCTCCTTTTATAGATTAATAATTCTTTATAATTAATCTTACGTTTAATTACAAAAAATTTCTTTTAGGCAATGTGCTATCTGATTATCCTCCATGGTTTCTGAGCTGTAGACAGTAGTCTAGTGTAACAATTAGTTAAAGACTAAGAATTTTAAAGCCTGAATCAGACTTACAAGTGTGAAGCTTACTGTTTTTAATGTTCCTGCTGAAATTCAAGTATTTGTCTACTGCTAACATCTTTTTCAGGAGTTGCACTTATAAAACACAAGCAATTAAAAGACCCCAAAAGAGGTAACTACAGGTGGCTCTGATGTGATTTTTTTTTTCCCTCTTGCAGTATTTCTTTACATTTCTAGGGTATATATGATACTTGCCTCACATAACAAGTAATGAATGACCACAAAAAAAAAATGAATGCAACCTCTGAAGGCTACTTTGTTCTACTGGGTTTTTCTAATTGGCCTCATCTGGAAGTAGTTCTCTTTGTGGTTATCTTGGTGTTCTACTTGATGACATTGACAGGCAACCTGTTCATCATTATCTTGTCATACCTGGATTCCCATCTCCACACTCCTATGTACTTTTTCCTCTCAAATCTCTCTTTTCTGGATCTCTGCTACACCACCAGCTTCATCCCTCAGTTGCTGATCAACCTCTGGGGTCCAGGAAAAACCATCTCTTACAGTGGTTGCATGATTCAACTTTATTTTGTCCTTGCACTGGGAGGCACAGAATGTGTGCTACTGATGGTGATGTCCTATGACCGTTATGCAGCTGTGTGTAGACCCCTGCATTACTCTGTCCTCATGTACCCTCGTTTCTGCCATCTGTTGGCTGTGGCTTGTTGGGTAAGTGGCTTTACCAACTCAGCCCTTCATTCCTTCTTTACATTTTTGGTACCCCTATGTGGACATCGCCAAGTGAATCATTTCTTCTGTGAAGTTCCAGCACTGCTTCGACTGTCATGTGTTGATACCCATGCTAATGAGCTGACCCTCATGGTCACGAGCTCCATTTTTGTTCTCATACCTCTCATCCTCATTCTCAGCTCCTATGGGGCCATTGCCTGGGCCGTTCTGAGGATGCAGTCAACAACTGGACTCCAGAAAGTCTTTGGGACGTGTGGAGCCCATCTTATTGTTGTATCCCTCTTTTTCATTCCAGTCATGTGCATATACCTCCAGCCACCATCAGGAAATTCTCAAGATCAAGGCAAGTTCATAGCCCTCTTTTATACTGTTGTCACACCTAGCCTCAACCCTCTAATCTACACCCTCAGAAACAAAGATGTAAGAGGGGCAGTAAAGAGATTAATGGGGTGAGAATGGTCTGTTATACTGGTGACATGAATGGTAAAGTGGAACATCTCTGCACCAATGGTTTTTCCAGTCATCCACTCATCAATCTTTCTTTCATTCACTCAATTAGAACTTAATGAGTGTGTACAGTCACAAGGTCACAAAGTTTGTGGTAATAGATATGAACTAGACAAGGTCTGTCTAAATACTAATCTTTCTTTAGTGGTGATGACAGCCATGTAAAATTGGATGAAACATGAATATTAAGTTTTTAGTGCACAAACCTAATAAAAGTATAATTTTCTTAATTGAAAATGAAGCATAGAATATTATAAAAATTGATAAAATTCAGGTATAATTCCTTAAAAAAAGCCTAGAATATGTTGTTTAATTTCTTACTTTTTAGGCAGAATTTGTCATACAATTTGTCTTCCCTCTTTGGTTTAATGAAAGACATTTTGAAACACTTTAAATATTTTCTCCAACATTGTTATTCTTTTTTTGAATACTAGTTACTATTGAGAGGAGTTTTGGTCTGTATTCCATAATATCCCATTATCATTAGTAATAAAGTGACTTGCATGAGTCGTAACTAGAAGTGCTCTCAGTAATGCAGCAGAAGTAAGCATCTCGTATTTGTTTTTTCAATTCAGTGAGAAGTGTGAAGAAAGTGGAAATAAGTTTAAAGCTGTGCTATATAGCTCATAAAGTAATGGTCATCGTAGGCTAGGTATTGTTAGGTGAAATAAGTGCTTGTAGCACCTGGATAACCCAAGAAGCCGTAAATAATATCTAAGGCAACCAAGTGCTAGGCTCTGAAAAATGTTTTGATGAATCCAATGGGTACTTGAAGGAATTACTTGAAAATATGTTGGAAAAATTTTTATGATAAAAGCTATATGAAAATGGTAGTTTTTCTTTTCTAAGCTCGATCTGATTTGAATATTTGTGGTTAGAAAGTTCTTATGAAAATTAGCATGTATTTTTCAAATAAATAAATAAATGCACTTTTATTAAAGTAATAGTGTTGTTTCCTATATTATTGATACCATCTCCATCTGAAATAAGTGTACTATGTATGTAACACTTTAAACTGCACTATGTTGAGCTAAAAAATGGAATAAGGAATAAAGTAAAATCTTGGCAACACCTGAGTTTTGTATGGTTCTGAAATGTCTGTTTTAGTTTGGGGGGCCTCTAAAGTTTAGATATGATTGATTCAAGTCCTTTCCCCTAAATTATTAAAGAGAAAAACATCCCACATCTTCCTCTCAATTTCTTGTGTGGCTCTCATGTATGTTGATTCTGATGTCTTTGTCTTTGCCTTTGTGTGTCTTTGAGTTTTTTTCTCTAACTAGCCATAAACAATAATATGGGGTGTATGCATTTGTCCTTAAGCTACTTTTCAAGAAATGAAGAACCAAGAATCATGTCTATAAAAGAACTTTTAGTAAATAATTGGGGCCACACAAAAGAACTATCACAGAGCAAAAATCTTTTAAGAACTTAAAAGACATAGCTTAGTTCTTTGAACCACCATGTACTTATGGAATTCTTATTGTTTGGTATACCTCATACAGTACCAGAGTATCTCACTATCTAACTCTTGAAAAAGCTTTGAAATTTTCCATTTCTTCTTTTCTTTTTATGCTTGGAAAACACAGAAATATCTTTTTGTATGTGTAGACTATTTTTCTTGAAATGCATAATTTTAGTGTTTATGATTTTGAATCCTAGCCATGTTGCTGTAATATTTGTTAGTAATCTAAAGTAAAGATTACTTTCAAAAAATTCTCCCAAAGATCACCACAGATATTGTTGTTTTTATTGCTTTATTTTCATACTTTTTACATGAAACTTTTTTATCACAGGCAGGATATAAGTATGTTTTTTTCTCACTTTCTGGATGAGAAAACTGAAGAGAAGAAGATATGAGGCTTACCTAAGCTTAAGCAACTTGTATATGACAAATCAGGTAATGACAGTAGATTTTTACCTGAGTTCTCTTGTTATGGTCAACAACAACTAGGAGATCTGAGACTCTGTCATTGCCAACCCTAAACCTCCAACCAGTATTTGGTAAATTGACATTTACACAGCACACATGAATTTGGGTCACAGGCAACTTTACTGAAGAACTGACAATGAAAGCATTTTCTCAGCTAAGAATGGAAGCTAAATGTACTGAAGGATCATCTTCTTCTTTTATCTTAGTAAAATTTTCCTCCTCTTCAGGACAATATCTCCCAATCTTTTCCCACTTCTCATACTGATTCCTGTGCAGCATATTCCCTAAGCACATGCTCAGTTATTTGTTCTTAGTGTATCTCAGCAGTGCAGGATTATTGGCACAAAAATGCTATCAGATAGTTACAGAAACTAGCTTTGGCTTCCAGTTCAGATTCACTCATTCTCTACTATTTTATTAGCCTCATTGCCATACACTGTATTCTTTTTACAAACATGAAGCTGAAAGGTCACTGGTTATCATATGCTGTGACAACATCAAGTGATTTCAAGCATAATAAAATTTCAAATACAAATACACCATACTTGAATTACAGTTCAATAACAATAAAATTTACAGAAAAGAAAATAGTACAGATTTAGACCTCCATCAGATTTCATAGTGTTAAATGTTTTACCATGGGTGTTTTGCCATTCTGTCTACAATTATATAATATTAATATGAATTTAAATATTTTTCTGAAATGGTATATATGCACAACCATCCCTAACTGTTCCTGAGAATATTTCTTAAAGTGAAGATCTAATTCAGGATAACAAATGAGATTTAGGTGTTATGTCTCTTAGTGTCCTTTAATCTGAAACCATTGTTCAGTTTTTCTTTGCGTTTAATAGCTAAATATTTCTGAAGAGTATAGGCCATTTATTTTATACAATGGTTTTCAATTTATATTTGCCTAGTGACACGACTGAAGCGACTTAGCAGCAGTAGTAGCAGCAGCAGCAGCAGTGTTTATGCAGAATTAGAATTTTCTTTTTTGACAATGAAATTCCACAAAACTGATATTGTGTCCACCTGAGCTGCATCTTATTAGAAGGAACCTGGTATTTACTTATTCTATTACTGATGATATGAACTTTGAACACTTGGATAACATGGTGTCTTTTAGGCTTCTCTACTATAAAGTTACTATGTTTATTTGGTAGTTTACAAGAACCTGGTGGGGAGAAGGTTGTAATTAGGTGGAATTCCAATTTCCTTTGATTTTCATCCATAATTTTTATTTATTTATATTTTTATTTTCCCTCCAGCTTTATTGAGGCATCATTGACATACAACATGTTCAAGTTCAAGGTGTACATTGTGATGATTTATACATGTATATATTGCAGATACTTACCAAAAGATAGTTAACCCATCTGTTCTCCCATTTACTATACATTTTTTTGGTAGTGAGGATATTTAAGATCTACTCTTTTAGTAAATTTCAAGTATATAATACAGTAGGTGGCACTAGTGGTAAAGAACCTGCCTGGCAATGCAGGAGACTTAAGAGACTAGTGTTTGATTACTAGATGGAGAAGATCACCTGGAGGAGGGCATGGTACCCCACTCCAGTTTTCTTGCCTGGAGAATTCCACGGGTAGAGGAGCCTGGTGGGCTACAGTCCCTGGAGTTGCAAAGACTGAAGCAACTTAACTTGCACATACTGTTATAGTCACCATGTGTAAATTAAATCCCCAGAAAGTATTTTAGTGCTGAGAATTTGTACTCTTTGACCAGCATTTCCTGTTTCTCCCAATCTCAGCTACTAGTAACCGTCCTTTTACTAGCTATTTTTCTGTTTGCCTTTTTAAAAAAAATTTCACATAAAAGTGAGAACATATAGTACTTGTTTTTGTCTTTCTAATTTATTTTACTTAGCATAACACCCTCAAGGTTCATCTATGTTTTTGCACAAGGCAAGATTTTCTTCTTTCTCAGGGCTGAAGAATATTTGACTGCATTTAAATATTCTTTATCCATTCATCTTTTGATGGGTTCTTAGGTTATTTTCATGTCTTAACTATTGTGAATAAAGCTGCTTTCTCCGTTTTTCTGTGCTAATCTTCCTAAAGGTTTGTCAGGTTTCTCTTTCAAATAAACCAACTCTTAGTTTTGTTGGTCTTTTCTATTGCTTTTCTTGTATCTTTATCATTTATTTCTGGTCTTTGTTATTTTCTTTCTTGTTTCTAACTTTGGGCTTAGTTTGTTTCTTTTACTAGTTATTTGAGATAAAGATAGATTGCTTTTTGTAATTTTTTTCTTTTTATCTTTATAAACTTACCTATTAGAATTGCTTTTGCTGCATCTTGCAAGTTTTGGTATTTTGTATTTCCATCTTCATTTGTCTTAAGATATTTTTTGATGTCCCCCCTCTTTTTTTTGACCAATGGTTGTTCAGGAGTGTGTTGTTTAGTTTCCATTTGCTTGTAATTTTCCAATTGTCATCCTGTAATTGACATCTAATTTTTTTATGTTTCTGGTAAGAAAAGATACTTGATATGAATTCAGTCTTCTTACATTAGCTAAGGCTTGCTTTGTGACTTAACATATGTTCTATGCTGGAGAGTAATCTGTGTCCACTTGAAAAGAATGCATGCACTGCTGCTGTTGGATGAAAATTTAATCTACCAACTGTCTAACAAAGAATTCAAATAATCCTTTAAAAAATTCAGTGCAAGTACAAGAAAACAGAGGTATACAACTAAATAAAATTAGGAAAATATTATATGAACAAAATGAAGTTCAACAAAGAATGGTATGGAATTATATATTAATAACAGGATGAGAATTGAGAAGTTGGCATTTCTTTACAGTATGTATTGTGTTTGGTGGTATCATACCTTCTTGATTAGTCATGATATTTGTGGTCTTGCTTTGGTATCTATGCATCTGAAGATGTAGGTTCCTGTACTAGTCTTTATAAATCTGCTTTGGCAGGCAAAGGCTTCTACCAGTCAGCTTGTCTAGAGAGTCTATGTGTGCGTTCTAGTGGCATCCATGGTCAACTGCTGCTGGAGTATTTTGGTGACCTAGTGCTGGGGTGCATCAAAAGCCTGGAATAGAAGTCAAC